ATGTATCTTTAATAGGAGATATTTGCTGTCTTCATTCCAAAGCGGAAGTTTGTTCAGCAGGCACCCGCACCGGAAGACTAGTTCAAAGGCTTCCGCACGGAAAGACAAGCTCGAAAGTGCTGCTGATGATATGCGTTGATGCTGCTGATGTGTCGCGGCTGCTGATGCCTTATCGTGGTGCGACTTTCATGCCTCATCGTCAGATTTTCATGCCTTGTCGTGGTGCTTGGATGTGCTGATGCTGCTGATGTGTCCTGCTGCTGCTGCTTGCTGCTGCCACTGATATGCCTTGTCGTGGTGAAGGGTTCATGCCTTGTCGTGCTGAGGTTTTGATGCCTTGTCGTGGTGAGGTTTTCAATGTGCTGACGTGGTGAAGTTGTTTTTCTGTCGTGGTGCCAATATTTCTTGTTATGGTGTGGAGTCTTTTTTTCTGTCGTGGTAACAACGCGCTCTCGAACTACGGGGCCCCCTGCTGCCCCGGTCTGTCATTAAGGGCATCGCAGAAGCCCCACCAGGTAGGCATTATGGTCTACTAGGGCGAGGTCCTTATTATTTGCCTTCCTAGGTTTGCGATTGTCATCACAGACATACAGTGTCCAATCATTGTCGGCTGGCATTTTTAGGAGGGTTTGGTAATGTCCACTAGTGACTGTGGGACCTGAGTGAAAGACCACTGCAATGACCCGAAAAGGCTCTAATCTCGTGCAGGCATCGCCATCCTCAGTGAAAACAGGCAAGGCCACCACTGCACCTGGCCGTACTGCAAGGTATTGCTGATTCTTTGCGGTGTGCGAGCTGTATCGACATATTTGCAAGAACAGACAGCCGGTATGTCGTGTGAGGCCTTGCAGAGATTCGCCTGGCAACGTCAGCAGTAGCCGGCAGCCGGGGTCACCTGAGTCATGGACACGATACGGGTTGGTCAGTCTGGCTTCCCAGTGCCACTGGCAAGCCCCGGGCTTGGCGATTGCAAGCAAGTGCAGCAGGAATTCACCTGCGTCATGTTGAGTGTGAAGGCGTTGCCAGCTCGAGAAAAGCATGCGAAAGGCGATGCAACTTGGTAGAGAGATGTCTTGTGTGGCACGGAGCACGCGTAGACCGGCCTGCAAGGCTCCGTAGCATGCGGAGGGAGAGGTGGAAACCTCACCAATCCAGTATAATGCTTGGCATATTGAATTGCAGTAACACAAGGCAGTGCGATTGCGCAGCCTAGCTACAGGAAGTTTAAGTTGAGGAGCGCCCACGGATAGCCGCACGACCTCATGTGCGGCAACAGCGCGCCGCCCTAGGCGTCGCTGTTCCAGGGCGCACTATTCTTCGCCCAATCGCAGAACGTTGTCCCCATGTAGGACTCCTTGAGCTGCTTGATCAGCTGCGGCTCCTGCCCTCGTTCCGGTCGGATTCGAACACCAATCAATTTCATGATCGCTGAGCCGCTCAAAATCTTGACTGCATTGTAGCAGATGTTGCTGGACTCGCCCCGGAGCCCAATCGACACCATCCAAGGAAGAACCTCTGCCGTGTAGCTGTCCTTCGCCGACATGCGACGGGCCGTCTTGAAGTTCTTCAGCGCACCGTCCTGGGGCGCATGGTGGAGCAAGAGGTCCACCTGGCGAAGGGCTTCTGCATGCGCCAGCGGCTGTGTCTCCGCAACGATCTGCTTCTTGGCACTCGGATCCCAGGAGTGGTACACCCACGCCGGACTCAAGGCATTCGGGCCCTCGACTGTCCAACCGACAGTCATGCATCGCTGGAGCTTGGTCTCGTCACTCAGGAGCTCCTCGGCCTTGCTCTTGAGCAGCTGGAGCATGGTCATGAAGAGAACCAAGCGGAGCGGGCTCTTCACGGTTCCCTGAGAGAACTGTTCCTGCCAGTTGTCGGCAGTCTGCCTCAGCGTCGGTAGGCACCCGAGGCCGGAAGTATCGATGAAGGCCATGTAGCCGACGTCCGTCTTGAGCCGCTGGATCTCGGCTTCGTGCCTCAAGACAACTCGAACCATTCCCCGCATCAAGTCCTGCGTAGCTCGGTCCAGCTGGGGGAGTTGCTCCGAGGAGGAGCTGTCCTTGTGAGCCTCCCACTGGCGCTTCTGGCTCCCCCAGCTTCCGTGCCACCCTCCTTGCTGAGCTCCCTTCCCGCCTTTTGTTGAAGGCTTCGGCCATTTGCGACGATTTTCGTCGTCCGCCTCTGTCTCCTTCTCCGGCTCGCCCGAGGCATTCGGGGCGGGTATCTCCGTTGAGGCCTGTCCCCCCATCACCAGGAGCATCTCCTCTCTCGCGGTCTTCGCCCGGGCTGCTTCCTCCGCGTCGACATCCATCGTCGTCATGGGCCTGCGCGATAACAAGGGCAGCTAATGAAGCCTGATAGAGAACAGTGCAATGTTTCAGGTTCCTGCCTGTCTGCTTGACAGCGGCGCCGCAGTAACTACAGGTATGCACTGAACGCAGGCCCGCACTGCAGCATTGAGAGATGGCGGCATCATGAAGGGCCCATTCTCGGGGATGCATGAGGCGCTGGTGTTGCTTTACTCGAGCGCTCCACTGCCCGCGCAGCACACAATACGCTGACAATTTTGCACGAAAGGCTTTGTCTTGCAGCGGCAGCTTCCAGTTTTGCGCGGACTGATCACGGAGAAGAGGTTGGTGCACAAGCGCGATTTCCGCAGTGCCGGTGGAGCTGGGCATTGATGGCTCATCATTACAAGGTAGGACAGTCTGAGGAGTCCGGCACGAATGCCCCAGCAACTCCTCCCGTGCTTCAGGGACCTGATCTGAAGGCACGGCGACTGCCCCACCTGACAAACAAGCAGATGACCTTCCAAGGGCTATGCATCCCCTCTTCAGGTGTTTCTTCAGCCCCTCAACCCTAGTGAATCTTTGCAGACAGGTTTTACAGGTTGGCGTGCCATCAACACCGCCAGCGACATATTGATCCGCTGCAAGAACACCAGGCTGGTGCCGAGGCTGTTTTACATGATGACTCCGAGCTCTGTGAGATCTCATGATGCGCGCGTTAAGGAAGTACTGGCCACAGTCAGGGCAGGGCACGCCAGTGCAGAATTCCTCAACTTCGGGTGAGGCCACAGGAGCCTGCATGATAATAGCCTCTAGAGCTTCGAGCTTGGCACGAAACTCGTCGCTGGTGGCAGGATCTGCACTCTTAGCAATTCTACGCTGAAGAGTGCCTCGCAGGGTTTGCAACGGGTCAGACGCTTCTAGCCGCCTTCTCAAGTTGGAAGTGCTCTCACGGGAGAGAAAGGCCGGTGAGCGAGATAAAGCCCGTAATGATCGATTGTCAAATTGCACTAGGCGTCTGGCGACCACAGGAGTGATACCAACAGCATGCAAACCATACAACAAACTGCTTCTAACACACGCAATGTGCAGCCTGACCCGTTGTTTCAGGCGCAGTCCGCAACTGCGAAGAACCCTGCCAAGGCGGTGCTTGCATGCAAGTGCGGCCTGTTGACGATGCGCATACGTTTGCTGCTCAAATGCTGTATAGGACGCCACTACGCCTAAATACACGATTCGGTGAACCCGGGGAATGTCAATTGGCGCATGTGGGGTTCCAAGCTGAAGAACTGGGCCCTGGGCTGTACGCTTCGTGTGCGCCTTTAGCCAACGTCGAGCAGCACCGCCACGCAGCTTGAGGATGATACGGGACTTCTCCATGTTTAAAGTCATCCCAAACTCCTTAAAGGTCTGAAAGGTAGCCCTGATACACTTAATCATAATTTTTAAGTCTGAAATTGTCTTGATCGTCCAGGCAAAATGGGTATCATCTGCAAACAGTGTGGCCGCTTGCGCAGCCCAAGCTTCCGACGTGCGACTCACCAACACATCGTAAATGTGACATGTGTATAGTGTGAATAAAAGAGGACTAAGAGCACAACCCTGTCGGACACCTTTCCGCATTGGAAAGGTGCCCGATTGCCGTTTATGCGTCACCGTGTAGACACATTGTTCATGAAGTGCAACAATTAGGTGTTGGAGCTCTGCTGGCGCACCGGCATGCTGTCAAGAGGCACGCAAAGCTTCCCGTGGGACCTCGTCGAATGCTCGACTGAGGTCGAGGCTCATCATGGCACCGCCGCTGCAGTTGCTGTAGCAATGCTGGGCTCTCCGATCATGAACTGTAGGGCAAGTGTTCTTCAATTGCGCCCTAATTGCCGAGCAGTGTGCCATAACACGGGAGATGGCACCATCGATGGCCTTGCCAGTGATGTATGCGTACTGTGGTTTGGAATTCACGAAGTCACTGACACAATGTTGCAGACGGTCTCTAACAGCAATAGCTACTATTTTGGAGCTAGGATCTTGCAACCCCAACGGCCTAAGATCAGATGGGAGTTTACTGGTCTTATTGGGCTTGGGAAGTAGCGATAGCACACAGTCCGTGACTTCGCCCGGCAGCTGAACAGGAAGTTGACAGGCTTGGTTCAAAAGTCCCGTCAGGTGCGCCGCATACGTCTCTGGGCACAAGCTCCACACCTCCGCCGGAGCGCTTGTTGGTGGCACGGCCTTGCCTAGCTTGAGGCCGCCTATGGCGCGGAGGATTTCCTCTTGATCAAACACCACTGGGGGGGGATCAGTAAATGAGGGAGCCTCTGCACCATCGAACGCTCTGCGAAAGTATGTTAGAATGGCCTGAAACTCTGCGTGCGGACCCAGGAGCTCTCCATCACCACCGCGTATGCGAACCTTTTCGAAGCGTTTGCGCGGTGCAAGCTTATTGACAACCCTGTAAACAGCGCCTAGATCATTGCGCGAAGCTGCAGCTTCAGCCTCCTGTATATATCCCTCAAACCACTGTCTACGCGATTCTTTGCTGGCTGCGCGGAGCTCCCGGCCTCTTCTCTGAAAAACAGCATGCAGCTTCCAAGCGGCAAAGATTCCTCGAAGAGTTCTAGAACCTCGGTGGGCCTGAAGGGCCTGTCGTGCTGCCTTCATGGCCTGGATGCTACGGACTACAGCCGGCTGAGTGGAAGGCTTGTTAGCAGCATGCTGGGTGGGCGGATACAAGCGCGCGCAGTGCATTAGCACCTGCTGATTAAGAAAACTGAGGGTGGTTTGCGGGCTGGCATGCTGAAGAGTGTGAGTCACCCACGCCTGTAATTCCTGAGCTCTGACATCCGGACCATGGTCATCGGCATGAAGGACACTTCACTATGTGCGAGGATGAGGAGGGTTTCCTTATTCAACCAAAGGAGTTAACGCAGTTCGAACGGGAGACTCTGATCACCGACCTCACGGGATGTGTGGAGGAGTGCGAGGAAATTCTCGGTGCACTCCCTCAGTCAAACAGAAGTTCCTTGGATGTCCTGAAGGTTGGGATGCAAGCCTCTGTGACACTGGGGGAAACCATGAGGAACAGCCACAACATCAACCACCAGTATTTGGACAGCCGAGCTTACAACCTGGCTATGAATGGTGGGATGAAGAAACTTCGGGCGGTGTGTCAGGAGGAGAAGCCCGGGTGGTTGATACTTCACCTACCACACCGATCGCTCGAGGTTCGTGGACAAGAAGATGCCAAGCAACAACGCCGGCGGTTACAACGTGCCCGATGCATTTTGAAACATTCGATGTCCCTGCTACAGGAACAAGCCGAGCGTGGAGGACATTGGATACTTATGTGTCCCCGGGCATCGACCATCTGGCACAACAGCGTCTTCAAGACCTTCTACCTCGACTACCTGAACAAACAGGGATTATGTCAACGCAATGTTTGGGGTGACTGGTTGGCCGCCCCTACTGAAAACAAACATGTGAAGGCCACACCGTGCCGTCTGCTGACATCGTCGGAGCAGCTTGGATCTGAAATAGACAGTCGGCAGAAGCGGGGTGATAATCGCGCCATCCCCGAACCGCTCCTGCGATGCTGTGTTGCAGACTGCATAAAAATGCCTTCCGATGACCTCTTCGGCCTGCGGGATGAGCCGCTGCTGGCAGAGGAGCTGACTCCTGAGGACCGAAAGCGCGCCGAGAAGATGGTGCGCCTCCTACATGTTCGTTCCGGACACCCTCGAATCAAACCCTGGTGTCTATGCTACGAGGCCGAGGTGTACATCCGGAGGTGATCAAGATTGCCCTCAGCCACCAATGCCCTGATTGTCTTGAAACCCGGCTGGCCGATCCATCTCCTGCGGTGAGTCTGCAACAGACGGATGTTCCATGGAAAGTGATTGTGCTTGATAACGCTGAGTTTCGAGTAGGGGATCAAGTTGTTCACTTCATGCTGATCATTGATGAGGCGACCCACTGTGCAGCTTCCTCTGAGTTGTTCCGGCGACATATAGATGAAGGCAGGAACGCCACCGCAGAAGAAGCCTTGAAAGCGATAGAGCAAACGTGGGTGCAAAGCTTTGGATATCCCGATCGTATCCGATTGGATCCCGAAGGCTGCTTTCGATCGAGGTTGCTTGAAGATTGGGCAGCTCAGCGGGGAATTGAGATCATGCCGAACCCCGGTGAAGCTCATCACCAAACTGGGCAGGTGGAGTCCCTGATCGGCAAGATCAACTCGGATGCTACGACATTGCTTCATGGTGAGGAGATGGACCCCTACAGAGCAATCCTGAATGTCGTTGCTGCCCACAACACCGTACATCGAAAGCAAGGATTCTCCCCTTGCCAGTGGGCCTTCGGGCGGGATTTCACGATAGATGGTCGCTTGTTTGAGTCGGAACAAGGACTACCTGTTCTCCAAGGACAACTTGATCCGCGGCATGCCATCGGAAAGTCCTTGAACTTGAGAGTGATGGCCGAAGAAGTGTACAAGAAATCCCAGGCAAGTCAGCAGCTGAGCAGGCTGCTAAATATGAAGTCAAGACCTCAGCGAATGTTTCTGCCGGGTGATATGGTGTTCTTGATGAAACTTTACACCGCCTCGTG